GCATTAAGGAGAAAGCAGAGTTCACAAAATATTGCTAAGCAGAGATTTCATTTTCCAAACACATATGGGGTTATGTTTTGTACTATGTCAAAGGTCAACCAATAATACAGTGATTCTGCCCTAATGTTACAGGTGGAGTCCCCTAAATGTAATCCTGTTTAAATGGAGGGTTGCATTATTAATACAGTAATGACCTGGCAGGGCAAGTCTGAGCAGCTAAGCTAGTGGGCCAGAAAATTAATGGGGGTGGGGAGCAAAGGGAAATATAGGACCTCTTGCAAAATCTAAATCACTTCTGGTCCAAATTTTGGGTTGGCACTGCTTCGTGCGTTGTTGGCTCAAACATAGAATTGATGAGGAATTCTGCGGCCAGCAAAATTCAGGATACCAGCACTCATTCTGTTAGTTGGCACTCATTTTGCTTCCCTGATTCTCAGTACTTCCCCTCTGCCAATATAAGAACCTTAGCTCACACTGGCTGAGAAAGGGAAGGAGACAGGGCAAAAGATGGGAGCCAATCACCAACTGCATGCATGGTATATGTGGTCATTATAGAGTGGGAGTTGTATTGAATTCCTTCTATTCTAATTATTTCTATCTGAGTGCTCAATTATTTCTATCATAGTCCTCATGATTTTCACAACATATTCCTTTGTATGGGTCTGGATTAGGAAAACAATATTCTAACAATGTAAAATATAAGTAAGTCCCAGGTTTATCTTTCCTGTGTTCCTTATCTTTTACTTTTTGTACTTTCCTTGGGAACAGATCATTCAAAAACTGGGTGAATTGATAAAATTAAGCTGAGCTTGAACTGGGTATAATTTACTAAATGTGAGGCCTTCAGGGCAGACTGTCACAGATCCATGAGATTGCCTATACTTCCACTTGGGCCAAGCCAAAGGGACCAGAACTCATTTAAAAAAATAAAATAAAATAACCAGAGAATCAGATTTTGCTCCTAAGCAACCCAGCTCTCCACTGTGTCTACTAAATCTTCAACCTAATTCAGCCACTCCCATCCCCACCTTGCATTTGACAGTAGTGGAGAGACATTTTTTTTCTCATAAATGTTTCCACTCATAAAAATCTTTGTCTAGTGACAGCAATGTCTGGCCTAGCTGAAGCATCAGCCAATAAAACTATCATCAACAATGATTGTGTTTGCAGATACTCTAGATCTAGAAATCATTGCTCATATGTCTACCTGTTTAAAATATTTCTTGCAAGTCTGCTGGTTTCTAGTAAGCATGTGCTTTCTTCTGAGAAACAAGATCTTAAAATAAGTAGATGAGCTCGGTGCTCACCTGGCTCAGCTCAGCCACAGCTATTTACCCTTCTCTAGGTGAGAATAGAATGAATGGGGACATAGGCTGCTTTTGGAGCAAGCTTTGAGGGGCCCCATTGAAGCCATTTTCTCCAAATATCCAATCCACCACCTATCATTTTAGCTGTATTATTTTGGTTCTTGAAGACCTTTTCCTCCAGAATCTTATCTAATGCAGCTATCTCTGGGTAGGGTTGCACCTGAAGCCATTATTTGGTGAGGACCAATGCACAGAGCATTTGAGTACAAATGAAGTACAGACATAGGGATGGTGGGGGTTGGAACTGTGAGAAGAAAAGATGAAATCAATGAAGAGGAAGGTAGAGAGCCTGCAAATTTTGCTTCCCTGTCAATGTAACCTAGAGGCGTTTGAGATGGAGGAAAATCCATCATTTTGTTTAGGTATTGTGTTGTTTTCCAACTCCCATGCAAAATTTCCTGCTCATCCCCTTCACTCATGTTATATGGGGCCTTTCTATCATGCATAGACTACAAGAATAAGTTACCTGCATATCTACTAGTTTTTTTGCATAACATGAAATTGCCAATTGTAAATATGTCTGGTTTGTTTTAGCTAGCTTAATGCCTCATTGCTTCTCTTTAGTTATTTCTTACTGTTAAATAAGGTGAAATGCTTTGTGTAATTCCTGGTCGATAAATATGCTACTGGGCTCAGAATATATTTTGCAATTTTCATTATAAAATAGAAATGCAGAAAAGTGCATACAACATGAATGGATACTTAAAAAAATATTTAGAATGTGAACACCCATGTCACTTTCAACTGGATCAAGAGGTAGCATCTTTGTTGGTGTCCCAGGAACACACACTGCTCACAAACCACACATTTTTCTCAGAGTAACTGCTCTTCTCAATTGTATGATAATAATTTCATTACTTTTTGTTTCTTTTTAGTTGCACCTTATATGTATGCACCTAAGCAACATCATTTAGTTTTGCCTCTTCCTCTGATCTATAAAGGAATCATTCTGTGTGCATTATCTTATTCTTGCACTAGAGGCCCGGTGCACGAATTCGTGCACTGGTGGGGTCCGGCTGGCCCGCCCCAATCAGGGCCGATTGGGCCAGGCTAGCCAGGGGGAGGGGATGTGGGAGGTTGGCCAACCAGCCCCACCCCTGATCAGGGTCCACACCTGATCAGGGTGGTGGAGGGGGCGATTGGGGATGGGAACGGGGATGGCTGGGGGAGGGGCTACAGGCGGTTGGCTGGCTGGCCATGTCCCCTGGTCTCCCAGTCAGGGGGACAATTTGCATATTAGCCTTTTATTATATAGGATCTTTTGCTCAAAACTATGTTTGTGTAAGACTTATTCATGTTGTCACATGCTCCATTTTTTATTGCTGTGTAGTACTTTAGTGCATGTAGCACAATTTTCACCCACTCTCCTACTGATAGACATCTGGGTTGTTTCCAGATTCTTGTGATCATGAACAATGCTGCAGTACCTGCTGTCCATGCATGCCATGTGAATATATCAATGACTGGAAATGCTGGGGCATGGGTTATGTAGATCTTCAACTTTACAGGATAATAGAAGCTGTTTTTTCCAAAATGGTTGTTCCAGTTTATACTCTACCTACTAGTGTACAAGAGTTCTTTTTGTTCCACACCTTCATCAACACTTGGTATTATCAGATTCTTAATTTTTTGCCAATTTGATATTTAGTGTGCAGTAATATGCTTTTTTTCTCTTCTCATTGTGGTTTTAAGTTGCAAAACCCTGATTTCTAATTACTTGCCCTGAATTCAAAGTCTTTAAAATTTAAATGCAAAGTTTGTTATTCTGGACTGTGGTATTTTAGTGTTTATTCATACTGAGAACTTCAAGTCATAACTGGTAAGTATAAGAGAAGTAAAAAACAAAACAAAACAAAAAATCTTCATTCATTGAACATCAGCTAGGAACTGGGCACCTCATGCACTTTGCCCTATTTAATCCTCATAATAACTTTGCTAGTTGATATGGTTAGCCCTATCTTCACTCAAGCCATGCCTGTGTGCTTTTGAAGCCTAAAAATACCAAACAAACAAAACTCCCTGCAGTAATTATGTTTCCTTCCAAAAAATAGCCTCTGTAGGGTCAAAATAATTATCAATATCCTGTGTAAAGTCATATTAAAAATTACACCAAAAGAATATCAAAGGTAGCTTAGCTAATATGACTAATTTAATAACAGCCTCCATACATCAGTTTTTCCCTTAATACTTCAAAATCCAATCCATTAATATTTAAACAAATGAAAGGGTCCTTGATTTGAGGTGGGATTTCCCTCCTGAGAAGAATTTGTGAAAAACTTCAGGCGCGTGTTTCTGCCTGTGACAGGTCCTTGTGAAGTGGTTAACACGATCTATTAGAGTTATAGAATACTAATTGACAGCCAGAAATAAAAGTAACAAAGACAAGAGCGAGACAAACTATTCTCTGAGATCATTTTTATACAGGAAATCAATTAATAGGACATGTAACAAATTCAAGCCACGGACCCTTTTTAAAAAAATTAATTTGAAACCATTTAAAGGATAAATATCAAGCAAGGCTCCTAAGAATTTATGTGTCATTAATGGTGCCTTTTTCTTTCTAACTATAAAGGTCTAATAAATAGCTTGTAAATCCTGCAGATACAGAAACTGTTTTCAAAAAATCAAATTAACCAGATGCAAAGACTCAGGTATGATATTGCCTACAAGAGGGGATGTACAAAGCCAGCTCTCACCTCCTCCCTGGATGCGAAGAATAACTCAGAACAGGAGTAGCATTCTGTGCTGTGCGTAACTTTCCTCTCTAGTATCTTCATAAAATGACCCTTCAATGGGATCTGATCCAAAACTCTTCTCTGGGATGTAGACACACAGACAACTTGTACCTTTGTCACCAACAACTTCAAATGCGGACTTTGCATCTATGAATATTAACCTCACATTCACCCCACTACATAGAAACAAACAGAGATAACACTTTTATTAATCACGTCTGTGCACGTCTCACATTCTGTGAGGTTCATTACTTTTTTCTTCACTCCACGATACGAATCCTTGCTTGCGAAAGTGCTAGTCTAGTGTGCACTTCCCCGCTTTCAATATGCCTCCAGTCTCTTCTGTACCACCAATTGGCTACAAAGACTTGAAGGTTCAGAGATTACAGGATTGAAATGATTTTAAGCCCTTTAAATCTGAAAACTCTTTAAATACCATTTTCTCTGCAGCCACGGAGAATTTGAAAATCAGCTTGGCCTTTTTCTAGCTCCAGGTCTCAGAATTAGTGTTTTCAAAAGTATAAATGCTCTTCTGCAATTCTACAAAGAGCTGTCCCCAACCAGTTGACCCCCAGGAAATAAAACCAGCTACTTCTCTAGCTGGTCACTGCTTATCCGAGTTAATAAATGGAAAGATGTGTATGTTATGCCACAAACCACCAGGAAAACAGGTAATTGCTTCCTCAACTCCACATGAAGCCAGTGAATCAGAAGGGCCAGCAGACTTTAGACGTGTGTCAGTAACCATCTAACAATGAGAACAGAGAAAATGTCAGGGCCCCAGAGAAGCTCAGTGGGGCAGCAAAAGCCAGTTCAGTGACTGGAAAGCATCTTGCTCCTAAAGAAAATCTGTTACCATGGATACCCTCGAATCCCAGATAACCCTCTGAGGTCTTACCTCTTGTGTCCTCACATTTATGTATCCATAGTGCGTTCGAAGGGGCCGCCTGTATGTGTAGGAGAATGGAATCCATTTTGTACCAGGTTGTCCAAAGCAGTTTAGCAGCAATGGGAAATTCACTTCATTTACAAGGCGCACAATCAGCAGGAAGAGAAACGCTGCTATGAAGCTCACTGCAATCACAGACTTTCTCTACAAAACATTTTTTAAAAAAAAAGAGAGAGAGAGAGAGAAGGAATGAATGACTTTCAACCAAAAGCAGTTACAGAGGTTCCTTTATTACTCTCCCTTTCTCCTTCACAGGTATCAAAGGATGTTGTCATTTAGGATATTTTTATCTGGAAACAGAAAATAATTATTTGGTGACTAGTTTGCCTTAGTGTGCTAAGCCTCTGAGAGTAAGCAAAGCAGCTTTCTTGGGTTATCTTTCCATTCCATTCCTACCCTTTCTTACCTGTCTATCTTCCTTGACAACTCTTATTCAATTTTCAAATCCAAAAGAGACATTCCCAACCATGGGAAGTCCTTGTTAACTGCTCAGTTTCCTCCTCACCATCATCTCTTCATCCCCAACATATTTACCCTACTCAAAGTAAGAAGTCCTGCTACTCCCATACTTTGAAGGCACTTTAATTGCACACTTTTCATTGTGCAATTATTTATGTGACTTTTCCTCCATGTAATTGTGAGTTCCTGGAGAACTGGGATATACTATGTCATACTGATCTCTGTTTCCAAGTACCTTACATACTATACTAATAGACACCCAACAAACGCTTGAGTGAATGAATGAATGAATGAATGGGTAAGTTTTTGCATTCTTACAGACAAAGTCCCACTATCAATCATTATCCTGTGTCTTTATCTAGCACCCTCTACGCAAAGGAAACTTTAACCTGTGCTATAAGATATGCACAAGTAAGACATGAAAAGCTAACAATAGGGCAGGAACAAATGCGTGCAAGCAGCATACGAATATCCCCCGAAATGTGCTGCTACGAAACAAGAGCAGGAGCAACTGCATCTGATTGGGGAAAGCAGAGCTGTATTGGAGCCTGAGCTTACTAAAATATCCTCCAGGGCTTTCTAGGAGGAAGGAACAGAGCGAAGAGGCAAGGAAACATGGGGTTATTCCTAACCACATGCCACTTTGTTTTACTGGGGCACAGAGAACTGGAAAATGCTGGAAACACAAGTGATAACTCTAGGGACTGCCATGGATACCAAGCTGAGAAATTCACTGAATTTGCTAGGTGATAGTAAACCAAAGGAGGCTTCTGTTTAATTTTTTAAGGTGACAGTTATAAGTTACTATCAAACCTCAGTATTTAAGATGCTTTGAGCAGGAAGAGACTAAAAGTTGGAGCTACTTAGGAGGTTATTCCAATTGGCTAGGATAGAGGTAATGAGGGATGGAAAACTAGAGCAGTGGCAGGGGGAATAAAAAGGTGGGAAAAGACATAAGAAACTCAATGTAGGTAAAAGGCAGAGAACTTGGTTACTGGTTGGATAGAATTGGCAGACAGAAAATTCAGAGATGCCCAATATTTTGAGTCTCAGTAACTGTAATAATACTGGTTATTTCAGGGGAGACCAGCATGGGTAGAGCCAGAACTGATACAATAAGAAGACAGAGCTCTGGGCTTCCTAAGTCCTGGTCTTCAGAGCCTGGTTGGTGATCTAAATGGAACTGTCAAGGAGTCAGGCTAAGGTCAAGGTTGGAACTCTGCTTTCAAATCCAGGGCGAAGACACACAAACTGTTCCTCCATGAAGTTGGCTTTGGACCCTGATTCTTCTTCAAACTTAAGGGAAACCAAATATCGTTCTGGGAATGACTAAATATGTTTGAGGTTGTTGCTGTGGTTCTAGATTACCACTTCTTGGTGTAATCAGTTTCTTTTTGCTCTTTACAGAATGTCCCAAAAGGAGAAAAGAAATCCAAAGCTAGCCCCTTATCGTCTCTGGGCCCATGGTCATAGTGTCTCTCTGGCCAGAAGATAAGCCCCCACAAATCAGAGACACCCAAAGGGAATTTTTGTTCTTACTCAGCCGCTGTAATTTGTAAAAATTCCATCCCTCTGTCTAACCAGCCTAATTTTTCTATTGTCTGAAATTCCCTTGAGTTCTGCCTCTTCAAAACCCCTTATCTCACCACTAACTACCACAGCCTTACCCCATTTAACCTTCTAATCATGAAAACCCATGTTAATTTGCGCCTCTGTAGAAGCATTATGTCCACAACATTGCAATGTGTCAAGGTAACAGCTTAAATGAGGTGATGGATCTTACAAGTTAAAGGGACATAGACCAGAACAGATGGCTAAATAAAAGCAAAGAGGCCAGTCACCCATTAAGTAAACAGGTAAGAACTTTTTCACCACCATCTGGTAGCTTGTTGCGAACAGCAGCTTGCTTTGAAGGAGACTTGTGCCTTTGTCTAGCCCAGAGCCCAGCATGGCTCTGATTCTCTTGGTTGTCACACTGCATTGTATGGCTGGGGGTCTGGGGACAAAGGTGTGGACAGTCTTTCTGAATTATCTGATTGTGTATAATAACACGTATATGAGAAGAAAACAAACCATTTTGAGAGAAACTACAATATGGAATGAAATCATAGTTGTAAAAGCTTGCTCCCTAGTAATACATGTCTGCCTCCCATGTCCTATAAAAGGGAATTAAGTGATAAGCACAGAGAGGATGCGACAAGCAAATGGAGAGTGGAAGCCAGACACCATCTCCCCTTGACCTGAAGTCATATTCTGCAGTGGGTAGAGGTGTTCCTTTCATAGCTCAGGCTTCCAGCTCAATATCTGTTGTGTTGTCTGGGCCTGATTCTTTACTTCTCTTCATGCTTCCACATTCCTGTTTAACATGAAAGCATTCCCATGGTGCTGATATAAAACCTCCCTGAAATTTCACTCGAAAAGGTGTAACTTGGCAAGAACAACAGGACTTAACATGAATGTGCGTTCTTATAGTAGTCACTCTGCGAGGTCATGACCTTGAGCTTCAGGAATTAAAACAAAACCACAGACGAGGCTTTTTGAAGTCTGCACATACCAGAATGTAGTGAGAATGTGTGTGTGTGTGTGTGTGTGTGTGTGTGTGTGTTGTGTGTTGAGGAAGTAACAAAATACTGATATGCATGATTTATATGAATGTATTCACTCCTTCAAGTCACAATTGATATACTGTATAGACTTGGTGAGGTGCAGAAAAACAGAAATAAGCCCAAAAAGACAGACCATGCTTACAAAGAGTCACAACCTAGTGCAGCTGGCAAGTAAACAGAAAAGTATAAAAAGTATAATACCACGTATTACAGGAGGTGACAGAGTTATGCTCAGGGTACTGTGCAACCCAGAAGAAGCGGGGTTCGGTAGTACAGAACAAATCAGGGAATGTTTACTTGGAAAGGTGGTATTTAAATGGAGTCCTGAAGAATGAGAAGGGATTAGACAAGTGAAGATGGAAGGGCATTCCAGGCAGAGGGAACAGCATAGGCTAAGGCACAGAATTTTGAAAGGCCTTAATTTGGTCAGAAACCTGCAAGTCATTTGATAATAAGAGTATGTAGATTTTATGTGGTAGGAGGTAATACTAGCTAAGTAAACAGGATTCAATCATAAAACAAACAATAGACAAATACATTAACTCAGATAAAATTATCTTTCTTATCTATGTTACTTTAGGATAATAAAAGGATAAATGTATAAAAGTACCATGTTTTAGAATTCTTCACTTTCCAACCATATGCAAATATGTCAATCAGTTCATTTTATTAGAAACTGCTATGTAACATACCACAGTGCCCTGCTTCCAATTGTTTGACTTAAGTTTATTCACTCAGTGGCTTGTTTCTAGTCTACCAACAATTAGTAAATTAGAAGATGCTACCTATTTATACATGTGTTCTATGTCTAACAATTTGTTTATGGAAGTGATCACTGCTGCCTGTATTGAAGTAATCAAAGCATCCCCTAGATTCAACAACCAACAATCAGATAAGCAAAAAAAACCAGTAAGGACTTGTCAAGCTTATAATGTAGAAGACAGCTCAACAAACTTTTGTACTACAAAAAAAACTGACATAAACTTCATAAGCTGGTCCCCTAACATCAGAAGCATGAACATTCAATGACACTATATGTAGAAAATGCAGAGTATAGTTTTGGACCCATAGTGAGCACTCAAAAACCAGGCATCCTATATAATAAAAGGCTAATATACAAATAGACCAAACAGCAGAACAACCGAACAACCAAACAACCGGTCGCTATGACATGCGCTGACCACCAGGGGGCACACGTGCGAACCATGGTGAGCATCGGCCGCAGCAGGATGGTGGAGCAGGTGAGTGGGGCTGCCAGACCAAGGTGGGGCACCAATCACTGTCATCAGGGCACCAATCACTGTCATCAGGGCAAGCCCCTAGTGGTTACTGAAAATTCTTTGCTCCCACGCGCTGCGGTCTTGCGCAGCACTTATACCTGTTGTCAGCACCGGCCCTGCTCCTACCCACTGCTGTCACCAGAGCTGCCACTCAAACCCACTGCCGGCACCTGGCTCCGGCCCTGATCACTTGGTTCCAACAGCAGGTGCGAGCGGCAGCTGCAAGCCCTGATAGCCCCTCAGGACTTCTCCACCTCTCCCTGCTCCTGATGGGTGATCGGGGCTAGCAGCCGCCTCTGGCACCCACTGCTGATGACAGCCCCACTTGCACCTACTGACGGCACTGGCCCCGCTCGCACCTGCAGCTGGCATCCGGCGCTGGTCCCGATCACTCCGCACTGTCAGTGGGTGCTAATGGGGCTTGTGCCATCAGCGTGTGGTAGCAGCAGCGGGAGCAGGGCTGCTGGCAGACAGGGGACTGGGGGCTGTGGCATGAGGGGCTGGGCGGGGGCGTGGAGGATGGGCCGAGACCCGCCCCTGTGCCCACCACAGCTTCATGGCCCACAGTTCCTTTCAAGGTGCATGAATTCGTGCACTGGGCCTCTAGTTATTGTTATAATATGACCACAAATTATCAGAGCTTTGGTGGACAGAACAAATTTGTCCAGCCTATGTAAATGCATGACAATTACTTAGAGATATCTTTTTCTAAAATATTCCAAGCAGCTGCAAAACCTTGAACTATTCAGTGCAACTTATCCACACAAGCTCTAAGAGAGTGTCCCTGTGCCCAAACAGA